AATGGGTCCAAGTACAGATCCCTGAGGTACCCCACTGGTGACAAGTCCAAGCTTCGAATATATTCCATTAACTACAACCCTCTGTTGCCTGTCACTCAGCCACTGCCTTACCCATTGAACAATATTTGAATCCAAACTTAAAGATTGCAGTTTATTGATAAGCCTTCTATGTGCAACAGTGTCAAAAGCCTTACTGAAATCTAGGTAAGCAATGTCTACTGCACCACCCTGATCTATAATTTTAGTTACCCAATCAAAAAATCAATAAGATTAGTTTGGCATGATCTCCCTGAAGTAAACCCATGTTGTCTCTGATCTTGAAATCCATGTGTTTTTAGATGTTCAACAATCCTATCCTTTAACATGGTTTCCATCACTTTCCCCACTACTAAAGTAAGGCTTACTGGCCTATAGTTGCCCGACTCCTCCCTATTACCTTTCTTGTAAATGGGCACAACATTAGCTAACTTCCAATCTTCTGGGACTACTCCTGTTAACAATGATTGGTTAAATAAATCTGTTAATGGTTTTGCTAGTACACCACTAAGCTCTTTTAATAGCTTTGGGTGTATTCCATCAGGTCCCATTGACTTATTTGTCTTTACTTTTGACAGTTGAAATAGAACCTCTTCCTCTGTAAACTCACGTGTAATAAATGACTCATTTATCCTTTTCTCAACTGAGGTCCCTTTCCTTCATTTTCATCTGTAAATACAGAACAAAAATATTCATTGAGGCAGTCAGCTAGACCTTTATCCTCTTCTACATACCTTCCTTATTTTGTTTTTAATCTAACTAATCCTTGTTTTACTTTTCTTTTCTCATTTATGTATCTAAAAAATGTTTTATCCACCTTTTTTACTGACTGTGCTATTTTCTCTTCTGTGTGTGATTTGGAAGCTCTTATAACTTGCTTAGCCTCTTTCTGCGTAATCTTATAGATCATTTTGTCTTCCTCACTCTGGTTTTTTTTATAATTCCTAAATGCTAACTTTTTGTTTTTAACTATTTTGGCCACATCTGCAGAGTACCACAGTGGTTTCTTGAATTTTTTGCTTTTACTGACAAGCCTAATGCAATTTTCTGTTGCCTTCAATAGTGCAACTTTTAAATAATCCCATTTCTTTTGGACTCCATTTAAATTGCTGCAGTCTGATAATGACTCCTCTACCCATATTCTAATTTTAGAAAAGTCTGTTTTTCTAAAGTCTAAAACTTTTGTTTTGTGTGGTGTGACTCAGTCACTGTTCTTATATTAAACCACACTGACTGATGATCACTGGATCCTAAACTTTCACCTACAGTAATATCTGATACCAAATCTCCATTTGTTAACACTAAATCTAGTATAGCCTCTTTACGAGTTGGCTCCTCAACAACTTATTTTAGAGACAACCCCAGTAGGGAGTTTAGAATATGTATACTCCTGGCACAAGTAGCTAACTTTGTTTTCCAATTTACATCAGGAAGATTAAAGTCACCCATGATGATAACTTCCCCCTTCATTGTCATTTTAGCTATTTCCTCAACTAGTAGATTATCGAACTCTTCAATTTGTCCTGGGGGCCTATAAATCACACCTACACAAGTTACTGTGTGATTACCAAATTCTAACGTAGCCCAAACGGACTCTATGTTTGCTTCACTAACTTTTATTAGGCTAGATTTTATGCTATCCTTCACATACAGGGCCACCCCTCCCCTTTCTTGCCTTCCCTGTCTTTTCTATATAAAGAGTACCCTGGTATTGCTATGTCCCAGTCATTTTTCTCATTATACCATGTCTCAGTAACAGCGACTAAATCTACATTATCAGTTGCCATTATTGCCGCAAGTTCATGGATCTTATTCCCTAAACTGCGAGCATTTGTAGACATGACTCTAAGCTTATCATTTTTTAACACAGTTGCTACAGGCACCTTCTGTCCTTGTTTTGGGGGACAATTGGATTGATGTTTTATCACCCTTTTGCCCCCTCCTAGTTTAAATACATCCTAGCAAAACCTCTGAACTGCTCACTGAGAACATTTGTTCCCTTTTGAGAAAGATGCAAACCATCTTTTTTGTACAGCTTATCTCCATTACAAACAGAGCTACCATGAGAAATAAAGCCAAATCCTTGCTCCCGACACCATTCACCAAGCCACAAATTAAAGTCCCTAATACGCATCCGCCTGTCGTTCTGAGTGTTATGCACAGGCAGAACTTCAGAGAATGACAGTGTGGAAGCAACCTGCTGTATATCATTGGCAAAAACACTAAAAACTTCTTTAACCTCTGAAACCTCATTGCAAGCCAAGTCATTTGTCCCTAGATGGACAAGTACATCCAATTCCCCTTCCTGCTTTGCTTACTTAACAATATTACAGATACGTGTCCTGTCTCTGTGAGTAGTAGCTCCGGGAAGACACCTCACAAGACCACCATTGTCCATCTCCACACATCTTATAATGGAATCCCCCAACAACAACTGCTTTCTATTAGGCCTCACCATAGTCTCCAAGCCGGTCTCCACAACACCACTAGTCTCAGTGCCTCTCTCCACAACACCACTAGCCTCAGTGCCTCTCTCCACAACACCACTAGCCTCAGTGCCTCTCTCCACAACACCATTACACTCTGAAATTGCAGAAAATGAATCTTGAAGAGCAACAGACTGTGCAAAATGCATTTTATCCACAACGCTAAGTCTACCAGATCCTACAGTAATCCATCTGACTTTCCTAGTATGTCTCTGTGGCAGTGGCTTTGCAGCAGTTCCAGTCTGAGTTTCTTCACCAGATAATTTACAAATCTCAGACTTCAAAAATACAATCTCCTGCCGCAAGATAGAGAACTGTCTACAGATTAGACAACAACCAAACCTCCAAAAAGCGGAATGTGAAACAAATGCATAGCAACTATTACACTGAACTAAGTCTGCCATTCCAATGAGGAGAATAATTTAAATCAAACAAATCTTAACTTTGTATTTTTCCTCCTGGATACCTCAGATTACCTCCAGTTTATCTCCAGAATATCTCCAACTACACACTACAGCACTTAGAAGTAGCACCAAGCTATATTAGACAAGCTAATGACACCAAGCCTCCTAAAATCACCACCCACTAGGAATGTTTAACACCTGGGTAGGCCTCTGCTTATTTGCAAACAATAGCTAATTAACCAGCAATCAATAGCAAGTAACTAGATTAATCAAATCGAATGCCTTATAATTACCAACAGGAATTCAAACCTTGTGCAATCAGTAACCTTTTCCTACAGATGAATCTTACCTGTAACAGTAGAAAAGAAAGCTCTTAGCACAACTCTTAGACAGTTGAAGTTTCTGTAAAACTCTCCAGAATATCTCCAACTACACACTTAGAAACAGCACTTAGAAGTAGCACCAAGCTATATTAGACAAGCTAATGACACCATGCCTTATATAACTCCTAAAATCACCACCCAATTAGGAATGTTTAACACCTGGGTAGGCCTCTGCTTATTTGCAAACAATAGCTAATTAACCAGCAATCAATAGCAAGTAACTAGCTTAATCAAATCAAATGCCTTATAATTACCAACAGGAATTCAAACTGAAGAAAAGTTCCAATTATTCCCTGAAAAAAAGCTTTAGTACCCGGCTAGAAACAGTTTCTCCTGTTTCTAGCCGGGTACTAAAGCTTTTTTTCAGGGAATAATTGGAACTTTTCTTCAGTGATCTTCTTATCTTCTTGAAGCTTGTAGCAGAACGTTTAAATATTCAGTCAGTAAAAATTCAGACTTAAATCAAATGCTCGCATTCTCCACCATTAAATGTAGGAAATTATTTTCTCTTGAGATGTTTGTTTTTCACGCCAGTTTTCTAAACAAATCGAATCAGAGTGTCTTGCAGCTAAAAACGTATATTTATTCAAACATACACATCATCCGGTAATAACATATGTCAATGACCGTCTTTGACCAATACAGAGTAATGTTCAAGATGGTATTCATTTTATATGTTAAAGGTATTGGTAAAATTCCTTCGCTACAATCAGTTCTATAGGTTTAAAATTCAGTTACATAGGAGCGTATACATAAGGTTGCCTTACTTTAAAATACGTGGCTATCTTAGAAAAAGGGTAGTGACTTAGCATCATTTGAAATCTATAGAAGTTACACAAAAGAAGTTATATATACATGGTTAACTGAATAAATGCCTTTAGAAATCTGAGCCTTGGTAATACAGAGGGAGACTGGCTTCCAAAGCTAGGTCAAAGGTTACTATCAACAGGCCTTCATCCATCATTCTTAAAGTGAACCATGTGATGACCATTCATATACAATGGAAGTCTGTTACTAGTATAATCCTAGGTAAGGCTTCCCAGTTTCAGTGTTCTGGAAGTAATTTGAATACAACTTATAATATTCATATCAAAATGACAATCCTACAACACAACAAATATTTAAAGTTAATTAAATATTTTTCAGTTCTGACATCTACTATCAAGAACTTGGGTGTGGCTTTAACACAGTTTACTACGTCACTCGGTGTTATGATTATTATTGTGTGTTTCTTAGGGTACCACTTTTATTTGACTCCTTTAGGGTTGATTTTGCTGTATTTTTTGTTTCCTTTTTTGCCCTAGTGCTGTTTTTTTATCCTGTTTTTTTTTTCTTTTTGGTTTTGTCAAGTGGGAGAATGTGTAGTATGAATCATTTTTATTTAATGTACAATATAAGTATGGTATATATGTAAAATATGGATATGCATTTAGCTGTACGGCATATATATATATAATTTGCAGATTTTTGCCATTCACTTAACAGCAGCACTGGAAGGGTTCTTGGAGATAATCATAGACAGTGCTAATAAGTATCTGATGACTATACAGCACATTACATCATATATTAGGGAACCTTTTTTGGGAAATATCACAGCATGCAGGGGCCTCTCTTTGGAGGAACAAACTATACACTTCAAAAATAAAGAATTAAACAATTTGTTCCTTATTTTTAAAATCAGTATGTCCCACATTTAGAACGGCTTCTATCCTGTGTGAGTTCTCTGATGTGAAATAAGTTGTGATTTAGCTCCAAAACATTTCCCACATTCAGAACATGAGAATGGCTTCTCTCCTGTGTGAGTTCTCTGATGAATAATAAGATCTGCTTTAGTTCCAAAACATTTCCCACAATCAGAACAGGAGAACGGCTTTTCTCCTGTGTGAGTTTTCAAATGTGAAATAAGTTGTGATTTAGTTCCAAAACATTTCCCACATTCAGAACATGAGAACGGCTTCTCTCCAGTGTGAGTTCTTTGATGTGAAATAAGTTGTGATTTAGTTACAAAACATTTCCCACATTCAGAACAGGAGAATGGCTTCTCTCCTGTGTGAGTTCTCTGATGTTCAACAAGTTTTGATTTAGTTACAAAACATTTCCCACATTCAGAACATGAGAACGGCTTCTCTCCTGTGTGAGTGCTCTGATGTCTAACAAGCCTTGCATTATTGACAAAACATATCCCACATTCAGAACATGAGAATGGCTTCTCTCCTGTGTGAATTCTCTGATGAATAATAAGACCTGATTTAATTCCAAAACATTTCCCACAATCAGAACAGGAGAACGGCTTCTCTCCTGTGTGAGATTTTAAATGTGTAATAAGTTGTGATTTGGTTCCAAAACATTTCCCACATTCAGAACATGAGAACGGCTTCTCTCCTGTGTGAGTTCTCTGATGTGAAATAAGTTTTGATTTAGTGACAAAACATTTCCCACATTCAGAACATGAGAATGGCTTCTCTCCTGTGTGAGTTCTCTGATGAATAATAAGATCTGCTTTAGTTCCAAAACATTTCCCACATTCAGAACATGAGAACGGCTTCTCTCCTGTGTGAGTTCTCTGATGTGAAATAAGTTGTGATTTAGTTCCAAAACATTTCCCACATTCAGAACATGAGAATGGCTTCTCTCCTGTGTGAGTTCTCTGATGTGAAATAAGTTTTGATTTAGTGACAAAACATTTCCCACATTCAGAACAGGAGAACGGCTTCTCTCCTGTGTGAGTTCTCTGATGTTCAACAAGTTTTGATTTAGTTCCAAAACATTTCCCACATTCAGAACATGAGAACGGCTTCTCTCCTGTGTGAGTGCTCTGATGTCTAACAAGCCTTGCATTATTGACAAAACATATCCCACATTCAGAACATGAGAATGGCTTCTCTCTTGTGTGAATTCTCTGATGAATAATAAGACCTGATTTCATTCCAAAACATTTCCCACAATCAGAACAGGAGAACGGCTTCTCTCCTGTATGAGTTTTCAAATGTGAAATAAGTTGTGATTTAGTCCCAAAACATTTCCCACATTCAGAACATGAGAACGGCTTCTCTCCTGTGTGAGTTCTCTGATGTGAAATAAGTTGTGATTTAGTTACAAAACATTTCCCACATTCAGAACAGGAGAACGGCTTCTTTCCTGTGTGAGTTCTCTGATGTTCACCAAGTTTTGATTTAGTTCCAAAACATTTCCCACATTCAGAACATGAGAACGGCTTCTCTCCTGTGTGAGTGCTCTGATGTCTAACAAGCCTTGCATTATTGACAAAACATATCCCACATTCAGAACATGAGAATGGCTTCTCTCCTGTGTGAATTCTCTGATGAATAATAAGACCTGATTTCATTCCAAAACATTTCCCACAATCAGAACAGGAGAACGGCTTCTCTCCTGTGTGAGTTCTTAGATGTTCAGCAAGTTTTGATTTAGTTACAGAACATATCCCACATTCAGAACATGAGAATGGCTTCTCTCCTGTGTGAGTTCTTTGATGTTTAACAAGGTCTGATTTCGTTCCAAAACATTTCCCACATTCAGAACATGAGAACGGCTTCTCTCCTGTGTGAGTTCTTAGATGTTCAACAAGTTTTGATTTAGTTACAAAACATTTCCCACATTCAGAACATGAGAACGGCTTCTCTCCTGTGTGAGTTCTTTGATGTTTAACAAGGTCTGATTTAGTTCTAAAACATTTCCCACATTCAGAACATGAGAACGGCTTCTCTCCTGTGTGAGTTCTTTGATGTTCAACAAGGTTTGATTTCGTTGCAAAACATTTCCCACATTCAGAACATGAGAACGGCTTCTCTCCTGTGTGAGTTCTCTGATGTGAAATAAGTTGTGATTTCGTTGCAAAACATTTCCCACATTCAGAACATGAGAACGGCTTCTCTCCTTTGTGAGTTCTCTGATGTGAAATAAGATCTGATTTAGTTCTAAAACATTTCCCACATTCTGTACAGGAGAACGGCTTCTCTCCTGTGTGAGTTCTCTGATGTGAAATAAGATGTGATTTAGCTCCAAAACATTTCCCACATTCAGAACATGAGAACGGCTTCTCTCCTGTGTGAGCTCTCTGATGGTTTGTAAGATATGATTTAGTTCCAAAACATTTCCCACATTCAGAACAGGGAAACTGCTTCTCTCCTGTGTGAGTTCTCTGATGTCTAACAAGCCTTGCATTATTGACAAAACATTTCCCACATTCAGAACATGAGAACCGCTTCTCTCCTGTGTGAATTCTCAGATGAATATCAAGATCTGATTTAGTTCCAAAATATTCCCCACATTCAGAACATGAGAAAGGCTTCATTCCGGTGTGAATTCTCTGATGAACAATAAGATCTGATTTAGTGCCAAAACATTTCCCACATTCAGAACAGGGGAACAGCTTCTCTCCAGTATGAGTTATCTGATGTCCAACAAGGATTGCTTTAATTCCAAAACACTTCCACATTCAGCACATGAGAACGGCTTCTCTCCTGTGTGAGTTCTCTGATGTGAAATAAGGTTTGATTTAGTTACAAAGCATTTCTCACATTCAGAACAGGGGAATGGCTTCTCTCCGGTGTGAGTTCTCTGATGTAAAACAAGGTATGAATACCAGCTAAAACATTTCCCGCATTCAGAACATGAGAACAGCTTCTCTCTTGTGTGAGTTCTCTGATGTGAAATAAGTTGTGATTTAGTTACAAAACATTTCCCACATTCAGAACATGAGAACGGCATCTATGCTGTGTGAAATCTTTGAAGCTTAAAAAGAGGTGAGTGATGGGTAAAACTTTTCTCACATTTAGAACATGTGAATTCTTTTGCTAACTAGCTCAATTGTAGACATATAGAAGTCAGATCCTTAAAAAATGTCTTCATAATCTTATTTAGTGCATTTCTGTTCTTGTCATGTTCTTTGGGATAAATTCTGCTGACATAAACACCTGAAAGAAATGTAGAGAGTTAAAGAAAATGTATCACATTCCAGGGATACTATAGTCCCCAAAACAACTCGAAGTTTGTGAGGATATTTATGGGGTAAAATATTAAAAATAATATTTTTTAAAAAATTATCAAAAATCTATATAATAATTTTTATTATATAAAACAATTATATATTGGCATTGTTCCACTTGATTAATTTAAAGGACCACTATAGTGCCCTGAGTGTGCCCCCACCCTCAGGGACCACCTCCCGCCCGGCTCTGGAAAGGGGTTAAACTTACCTTTTTCCAGCGCTCCGATCCTCCTCTCCTCCACGTCGGCTGAATGCGCGCGCATTCAGCCGGTCACATAGGAAATCATTCTCAATGCTTTCCTATGGACGCTTGCGTGCTCTCACTGTGAAAATCACAGTGAGAAGCACGCAAGCTCCTCTAGTGGCTGTCAATGAGACAGCCACTAGAGGATTAGGGGGAAGGCTTAACCCATTCTGAAACTGCTATATTTATGAAAAAATGGGTTAACCCTAGCTGGACCTGGCACCCAGACCTCTTAATTTAGCTGAAGTGGTCTGGGTGCCTAGAGTGGTCC